TCCAGCTCAGTTCCTCTCACTCCTGTAAAGGCACTTTTCCCTGTTTTCTTTTCTTGGGATAATTCCTGGGTTAGATTTGAAAATTCCCTTTACAATTCCCTTAAATTAAACCCAATCAATTACATTTTAAGTTACATTTAAAATATTATTTAAAGTCCTATTTTAAGCAATTTTTCAGTGAGTGCAGAGCTGGCTCCAGCTCTGAGCTCCTCTCCCATTTTCCTCCTCATTTCTTGGGATAATTCCTGGGTTAGATTTGAAAATTCCCTCTACAAATCCCTTCAATCAAACCAAATAAATCCCATTTCAAAAATACATTTAAATGATTCTTTAAAACTGTATTTTAAAGAATTCCTGCACTCCTCCCATTTCTGTTTCCCACTCCCTGGGGGTGAAGCAGAGCTGGCAAAGGATGGATCCAATGGATTGGAATTCCTGCTCCCAAATTCCCATTTCCCACTGACTTTTCATGAGATTTTTTTCACCCCAAAACCAAAACTTCAGAAAACCCCTTGGTTTTTATTGTTGTGCCTGGGAAGAACTTCAAAAATCAAAATATTTTGGTGCTGGAAGCCAATCCCTAAAACTGAGCTTGGGTTTGGGGGGAAAAAGGAGAATTTTGGGATAATTCCACATAGGAAAAAACACATTTAATGTCCTTTTTTTTTTCCTTCTTTTCCTGCTCTTTTCCCCCAGTTAAAAACAGGAAAAACCATAAACCACTGAAAACCCCACCTGGGGTTTTATTTGGGCTTTAATAATGAAATAATTTTTCATAATGAAATTCAAATTATTCTCTTTTCTTGCAGTGAGAGTGGCTTCAAAATCCAGTGGGTGGATGAGACCCACGCCCTGGGAATCTTCTCCAGCCTCTCCACAGGTATTTATTAAACTTGATTTCATTTGATTTTATTTTTATTTAATTTATTTTGATGATTTGAGACATCCCAGAGCTCCCCAGCCCACCAGTGGGATTTTGTTGGGCTCATCCCATTTTTTTTTTTTTTTT